CTGTAAGATAGACAAGATGGCTAGGAGCTCGCTTCAAAAGGTTGGAGGTTCTTAGTTCAAGCCTCCCTTTAGAGCCATCCCCCAAGAACTTATCCTTGTAATGACCCGGTGTATGTGGGACGGGGTATGCTCCAAGAGACAAGGTTCCGCCTTGTTAGCAAAAAACATGGATGTTGAGAGTTCAATGATTTTTGTCTCTACGCAGTTAAACATAAATTGACCTAGAGAGGGGTGAATAGGTCTTACGCACTTGTTGCAGAATTATCAACCAATTTAAAAATCTAGACCTATTCGTCAATGAGATTGTGAATGCAAGATACAAAGTTAAGTGGAAAAATCACCAGTAGAAGAAGTAAAATAAACAATCAGCCACACCATAAGTGATTTCTACATTGAAAACCCAACCGAGAAAAAACCAGGGAACCTAGTTCAGTCAACTAATCAACTAAAGCTTCAAGTTTGTTACAAGAGTGTAAAGACTTATGCCTCAACCAAGAACTTCTGCTTAGATGCTTTCTTTGTTTTGAAACTCGCTTCTGAATCCATNAACTAAAGCTTCAAGTTTGTTACAAGAGTGTAAAGACTTATGCCTAAACCAAGAACTTCTGCTTAGATGCTTTCTTTGTTTTGAAACTCGCTTCTGAATCCATAACAAAATCCATAACAAGCATTTGAATGCTTTATGGAAGAACAAGAATTGAATCTGCAGTCTGCCTTGCGCCGTTCAAGTAATCCCCTCAAACTTCTCTTGGAATCCACCAAAGCAAACGAAATATCNATTTGAATGCTTTATGGAAGAACAAGAATTGAATCCGCAGTCTGCCTTGCACCGTTCAAGTAATCCCCTCAAACTTCTCTTGGAATCCACCAAAGCAAACGAAATATCTTTGAAGTTTGGGAATACCTACTGGATAACTAGTTCTCTCGAAGAACATGATATAGGTATTGAATAATCAATTTAGAATTCCTAAATTCGACCAAGTAGTTTTGTCTTTTGGATTGGAAGGCTAGGTTTAGGTTTTCTTAAGTTTTTTTCTCTTATTTTTGTTGATTTGAAGCCTTAGTACACGTAAAAAGCCTTTCCAAATATATAGGAATGGAATTAGAATCCAAATAAAAAACCAAAATCAATAGAATCTTGATAGACCGTGCGTGCCCTGAAAGAGCGCTGGCCTCTGGATTGAGAAATATCGAGGCTGACACTAGGTGAGCGCTGAGCGAGCAGTGGTCTCGGGTTGAGAATCTGTTCAGTCCAATTTTCAAGGGATTGCTCGAGCACCAGATGAGCACTTAAAGGACTGTGTCTATTGGTTTTTGCAAAAGAGGTTCTGCATGCATGCATAAATATATATTTTAATTAGTGATTGAGTATTTGGTTGGTACTACTATTGTCCTTAGGCCTGAGAATCTGCATCTGAGTAGGCAATGTGCCCCAATTTCTGTTTTTCAGGTCTTGTATGCTACCAAACTAATGAATGAGTTATTGCTATCGGTACTGCAGGGCGGAGATCATAGGTCATCTTTCAGAACTTTTCCTCTGGGAATACTTTAAAGTACATCATCTGTGAAGGGGATCTGCTGGATCCCCATTTTCTAATATATGTTTACTAGGTAATCCATCAAAGACCCAACAAATTCACCCTTTTGTCCTGTGCTAGGCAATGTTTAGCGACCCTTACATGTACTATACTTAAGATGAGGAGTTTGAGAAAACTCATTTCGGCAGCAGGACTAATCACATTAGTATAAGAACATATTAAATATATAACGGTAATTCCATATCATCATTGACACATAATATTACTGATTAATTATAAACAAACGCATAAGACTAATAGTTTCCACTTAATTTAATAATCAGCTTTCCCCATCCAATAACTATCATATTAGATTAGTAAAATTCACCTCATGCTTGAAGAAACTTTGCAATATCAAAAATCGAATATTGATTATGTAATATTTATATTTTAAATAATAATAATTTATTTATTTTTCTTTAATTTTGTGATTTAAAATTAAAGTGAATAGAAAGAAAATAAGAGAGAGGTTAGTGTAGATTAATAGGGTTGTTTGATATTGTGGTGTTGGTTGAGTTATTTGACATTGAGGGTTGTGTAAAGAAGATGATATTTTTGAGCTGTAAAAAAATTGGGATGAATTTTGTATCATTAGATCAAAGTAGATGAAAATTGAATTAATCTTGACTATTGTTGTGTTTTTATAAATTGAGAATTTAACTTCTTAGCTATAATATTAGATAGATAATAACGTTGTGTGGTGATGCAGGAGGACTTGCCACAGGCATCGGAAGGAATAAAGCAATTGTAAGATTTTTCGGCTTTTGTTGAGAATATGATTTGGGGGTATATTTTTTGTTTTTTGTTTATTCTTTATGTTTGTATTTTCATGAACCTTGAACTTTGTAAGGGATGAAAAAGTCATTCAGCAAGTTTACTTAATGATGTTGATGTGGTGAATTTGGTCCGGGTGCTCTCGATTATGCTCGTCACTGAAGTCTTCACCGGAGAGGATATCCAGTTATTGAATATTTCCCCCTGGTACGAGAGGATGAAAGAATCAATGTTCTCTTGTGAGCACAGAAGAGCCAATACTTCATTTCATTTTTTGGGGGAATTACCGATTCTTCTTTTCTCTCGCGGTGATAGTTTGTGATAATATGTATTAATTGACCAGCGTACCAAAACAAAAACATGAGATACTTGAATGTTTCTTTATATCTTGACAGATATTGCAGTTGCTGTCTGCCCCATAGGTGAAATACGTATGTGTTGATGAAGTGTGTGCGTCTGTTTCATTCTTGTGTATCACAATTTGGCGAAATTACTTGAGTAAGACAGACAATGGATGTGTGATTGAATTCTGCAGTAGCTGTCCTCATTATGGCGACTTAGAATCAATCTAGGTACGTAGGGTGGGGTTGGTTGGATGACATTAATAAGTTCGTTGACAACTCCTCCAACCAGACCAGATTCAATTGTTACCGGAATGCTACTAACTAAATATTTTTTAGAAATTCTCAAGATCATATCTTTTAGGAAAAATGCTATATAACCCATATGAAAATCAAAAGTTAAAATTTAAATGTATATCATTCAAAACCAAGAGATGAGTGCGTTTTACTGAAAAAAATGATGGGATTTATTCATCAAAGGGATGATATGTATTTGAATTGTAATTTTTTGAATTTCATTTGAATTTTGTAGTTTTCTNCCAAAACTAAGAGATGAGTGCGTTTTACTAAAAAAAATGATGGGATTTATTCATCAAAGGGATGATATGTATTTGAATTGTAATTTTNTCAAAACCAAGAGATGAGTGCGTTTTACTGAAAAAAATGATGGGATTTATTCATCAAAGGGATGATATGTATTTGAATTGTAATTTTTTGAATTTCATTTGAATTTTGTAGTTTTCTTTTAACTGCTGATTTCCAAGTACCTGCAAGTCAAATCCATTTAACTATGTACCCGAACCTTTCCAAGTGGAAGTTGGACTAACCGACGGTTTTTGTAGAAGAGCGTTGTATGTTAAGTGGATGGAAAAGTAGTTGGCTGTGAGTGATTGTGAATGAGATCACTTAATAAGTAGTGTGGAGCCACACCATTTCCTTAGTGCTTGGCTTAACTTTAGTCAGGGAATCATATTTGATTTGGTGGAGTACTTGTATTAATAAATGATTTTTCTTTTTCAAAAAGAAAGGTTAGTAGGCTCTTCTTTTCAATCATTATTTATTAGCAACTGGATCCACATTAGCCACCATACTCGCTGCTTTTCTTTGTTTGGGGGGTGGGGGACACGACAAGCACAACAACACTTCAACAACTGAAGTAACCATATGGAAATGATAGTTTTGGACGATCTTCATAATTTTTTTTAAAAAAAAAAAAAAAAAAGAAGTTTAGACGCAAAGGATTCCATCCCATTAGTGGTGCTTTCACTTGTAATTGGAGTATTCATATGTATATATACAGCGAGCGGAAAAGGACTGCTGCGTTGGCCAATTATGCCCCCTTGATTTTGAATTGGATGCTTGCTTGGGTTGTGTATCACTGTTCCAGATTTTGATATACCGTTGTACAAACACTCCTGATGTATAACATTCAGGGCTCAGAGAGAGAGAGACTGTGGCCTTGGTAGGAACACATAGGTCTGGATCACCAGACGCCCTTACATTTCCGCAAGAAGAGGCAGCAAGTCTTGGAAATGAACCTCAGTTTGAGGAAATCTATAGGTTTTGGTTAAAGAATAGAAGCAACTTTAGTGTCTACTTGCTCGGGTCTTTAATTCCCTGTTATTTAATATGTATAGGAGCATGTTGTACGAGAAAGTTTATTTAAACATGCCATCTAGAGGAATCAAAGAAATTGCTGCACTGAGATAAATCTTCCCCAGAAGTTGAGCCTAGAGGATGAACATGTTATTGTATCATGCATGCCAGACCACTACATCGTAACAGCTTCAAGCAAATATACGATGGGACTCTTGTCAAGAACTAGACATGTTAACAGCTTGTACCAAACTATGCTAATCATTCTAAAGCAATAGAGTGTAGTTAAGGACAATCCAGAAAGAAGAATGCCAAGCAAATTTTATTTCTTGTCAATGGCATGGCAAAATTCACCACAGATAGAAACGAATCAAGAAAGTAGGAATCGTTAATGTGAGAGGCAACAGATTATTATTTACACAATAATCCCATATTACCTACCAAGAAAGAACAAAGGGAATGGACACCGCGAAAAACAAGTGTGATAGAAGAATATACCTAATTGGATGATTTGAACGTGAATATGAATGGACGCCGGCAGCCTGTACAAATGGCAGAGGTCATGGTACATATTCAGNCCCCATATTACCTACCAAGAAAGAACAAAGGGAATGGACACCGCGAAAAACAAGTGTGACAGAAGAATATACCTAATTGGATGATTTGAACGTGAATATGAATGGACGCCGGCAGCCTGTACAAATGGCAGAGGTCATGGTACATATTCAGTCTCGATCGTGGGTTGCGTCCGTGTTACCATGGCTGCCGGAGCTTTTGTGCTCCCCACTGTAGTCATGTGTAGTGCTTCTCCAACCTCAGCAGCATTTTCCATCTGTTGCATTTTCTTCCTGTGCTTGAACTTTTCCCCCCACAATCCCAGCAACCCCAACAAAACCAACAATGCTACCCCTGCAAGCACTGACCCCACAATTATCCAGACTTTAGGATTGTTCTTTTTTCTACCNTAGTGCTTCTCCAACCTCAGCAGCATTTTCCATCTGTTGCATTTTCTTCCTGTGCTTGAACTTTTCCCCCCACAACCCCAGCAACCCCAACAAAACCAACAATGCTAGCCCTGCAAGCACTGACCCCACAATTATCCAGACTTTAGGATTGTTCTTTTTTCTACCACTTGGTAGTAGACCTGCTTTTGGAGCTCTCCCCGGTGGTGCAGGAGAGACCGGTGCAGGGGAAGGGGCCCTGGACTTGACTACAATAGAGAAATGCCCCTGTTGGAACGTTGAGCAAACATTGCCGGATGCCACATTGCTGAAATTAACCAAACCATGTAAATCAAACCAAACACACTTTGCAACTGAACCTTTGGGTAATGATTGCATATTTGAGAAATTGATTAATATTGGTTGACGAGATGCCCTGATATCCAACTCAGGCAAATTTTTAGCGGATAAGTTTGAAGCATCATAAGCAAGAAGGCCCAGGACAGGAGCCAAGTACATATATCCGGGCAAAGGATAATACAGTGCAGACAAATTTCCCAAATTCTGATAGACCAGAACAAGCCTCTCAACATATGGGTGCCCAAGGACACCCATAGGAATGAAGAACTCTTTGTACATCCGAACACCTCTAGTCCATAGGCTACCACTCCTAAGCCGCATTGCCGAAACCGTAATGTCAGACAAATTTGATGGGACAACTCCATTATAGACGGCACCGGTCCTCGGACGAACAAATGCCTGAAAAGCATAGTCTTGGAGAAGTGCATCCAGAGGCCGTGCAGAGGTCGTTGAAGGACCAGGCAACTGAGTTCGGACAGCTCTGGGCAACCAGAAGAAGTATATCAGAAGGAGCAGCATCTTGAGACTTGGAAGAAGCCCCATAGAAGGATGCTTCAAACTAATTGAAAATCAGCACAATATCTGTCGGTCAATCTGACTTGGTAGATTAGATCCAAATGGGAGGCTAAAAGTCAACTCCCAAATTTAGTTGCGATGAGATATATCTATCAGAGCTAAAATAAGAAAGTGGGTGAAATGTATCTAAATCAGAACTTGTAGTTGAAGAGGAGGCTTCACAATCTCTCGTCATGAACTTGGAAGTTCCTACATTCGGGTGACGAATCTAATTCGATATTCCTAATCTAACGCGTAGTCGGTGAGAAAATAAAAATATGGTAAAACATTAAACCGTTAAATATCTATCACAAAGCACTTCGACCCTTTGGAATCCCCCTTCTAAAAAAAAGATTTACATTCCGCAAACCAAACGCAAAACCCAACTATGACAGTCCTTCAACATCACAATTGATCGCGGAAAACAGAAAAATAGCAAGTATAGAAGAGTATACTTGACATACTCTAGTGCCCAAAGCAAAGCCAAGCTTTTTTTTCAATTGAGGTAGATCCGGGGGCTGTCAAAAAGGAAGAAAACCAGAGAAAGCTGCTGCAGGCAATGCCGACCTGAATTGGAAACCCTAAATAAATGTGATGGAATGGATGATCTTTGTCAAAATATGGAGCTAATCAACCAGCAATGTCAGGGAGCTAATCGTTCCGAAGCAGAACAAACCAAAACGATGCACCCTCAAAAAAATCTTCATACACATTACAACAATCACGCGATGCATTACTTGTTCTCGTTAAATCGTCCCTAAATTGAAAACTAAAAAAAAAAAATGCAGCAGAAAAAAATGGAGAGAAGTGGTAGATAGAAGGTTGGGAGATGGGATTCTGAGAATAAATATTTTTCTATTCAACTCAAGTATTAATAGAATGCATACGTGCAGCAGTATTTTACATAATCAAATACAAATTTGGTATTATCCCAAAAAGATTTGGATAGAGATAGATCAATTATGATTAGCGTTATCTCAAGATGTTATCCCACAGAATTTCAGATGAAGAGATTTATTATGATAACTAATCTTTATCTTTAATTTTTCTATCTAATACGCCCCCGAAGAGCTTCATGAAGGAGACTGACCTTGTCACGAAGAAACTTGAACCGTGGAGTGGGTAGCGGTTTGGTCAGAATGTCGACAACTTGATCCACCGTAGAGAGGTATTTGACCTGTAGGTTGCGTTTGGTGACATTGTCACTAACAAAGTGGAATGAAATTTCAATGTGCTTCATATGGTTGTGGAAAATGGGTCGCCAGTAAGGAATATTGCACGGATGTTATCACACCATAGAGATTAGAGATTGTAACCAAAGAATATTGGTAGTGGTGTTGACGAGGGCCTGATATTCAGTTTCGATACTTAAGCGTCAATCATCATCAGAAAAGGCCGAGATGGTGGAGGATGGATGTCTTGTGATGGGAAGACAAACATTTGATGTGGATTTAAGGTGACGAAGGATGCGTTTGACAGCGGTCCAATGATCATCCGTGAGTTGCTGCATGTATTGGCACATCTTGTTTATGAAATATGACAGGTCTGGCCGAGTGATAGTGATGTATTGAAGGGCGTCGACGATACTCTGATACATTGTGGCATCGCGAAAAGGGGCACCATCAGTGCAACAAAGTTTCGGGGTTGGAGCAACAGGACTAGTAATTGGCTTGGCACCATCCATGGCAGTCCTTTGAGAAGATTAACTATGTATTGACATTGGCTAAGCACGAGACCATTAGAAGTATGTAAAACCTCAANTGCGAAAAGGGGCACCATCAGTGAAACAAAGTTTCGGGGTTGGAGCAACAGGACTAGTAATTGGCTTGGCACCATCCATGGCAGTCCTTTGAGAAGACTAACTATGTATTGACATTGGCTAAGCACGAGACCATTAGAAGTATGTAAAACCTCAATACCTAGAAAGAAATTAAGACACCTAAGCTCTTTGATGGCAAATTCATTGCCAAGGTGATGAATAAGAGAAGTGACCATTGGTGTGGAGTTGCCTGTATTGATAAGATCATCGACGTAGATCCACACATATGTATGAGAAGAAGTTGTCACCCGAATAAACAAAGAGGGATCGGTGTGAGAAGCCGCAAACCCTTGAGTGATGAGAAAAGTGCTTAACCGAGCGAACCATGCACAAGGCACTCGTTTTAGGCCATAGAGCGATTTCCGGAGGCAACAAACATGATTAGAGTATTGAGGATCAATAAACCCGGGATGTTGCTTTATATTCACAACCTTTTCAAGATTGCCATGGAGGAAGGCATTGTTAATGTCAAGTTGGCAAAGGACCCACTGACAACTGGTGGCTGGCTCAATATGGTTCGAATTGTTATGGGCTTGACGACCGGGATGAAAGTATCAATTTGGTCAATGTCTTCCTGTTGATTAAAACCTATGGCAACAAAGCACGCCTTGTAGTGTTCAATGGTGCCGTCTGATTTGCACTTTATCCGAAATACCCATTTACATCCAATGAAGTTAATATTTAGAGGCGGTGGTTGAAGTGTCCAAGTACCATTTTGGATCAAAGCATTGATTTCATCAAACATTGCGACTCGCCATTTGGGATCATGAGAAGAAGTAGTGACACATGGGAATTTGGGATCTGTGGAGACCATTGTGACATAACATTGAAGCAGTGGATGTTTAGTGGCCAAATTGAGGATCTTTGGTTGTCGAATGCCATATTTAGACCTTGTGGTCTTGGGATGAGTGCTTGTTGAGGAGGAATTATGCAGAGATGACATTGGGTGTGACATCACTGCTGGCAGTGATGTGGGAGCCGCTAGTTGCTGGCTGCTGGGTTAGAGTACATAGGCAGTTGAACCGTTGATGTCGTTGGGAGAGATGGCAGAGGGTGAAGTATCGGCGGTGGAGAAAAAGAGAAGGTGGTAGGTGGAGATTGCACCACTAGCCTCGACTATGAGTCTTTGTCTGTAAGAGTAAACACAGAAACATAAAAAATAACATTTCGGGAGATATAAATCCGTCGATGAATTTGGTCAAAACATTTATAGCCATAGTGGTGGTGGCTATATCCAACGAAATACTTTGGGTGGAGCAGAATTCGAACTTGTGATGGCGATATGGTCTAAGGCAAGGATAACATGCACATCTGAAAACCTTGAGAAAATTGTAATTCAGCGTTTTGTGGAACAATTTTTTCAATGGTGAGACATTTTGGAGAAGCGAGGAGAGTAAATGATTGATGAGTTAAGCGGCAGTTTCAAAGGTAAAATCCCAAAACATAAATGAGATAGAGGCATGAGTCAAGAGAGCTAGGCTTGTGAGACCTGAACATTCATATTATACATATTGTGGGTTAAAGTATAATTTGTTAATGTTTGCATGAGATTAAAATTATGATAACTAAATCCTNCTGGAGAAGCGAGGAGAGTAAATGATTGATGAGTTAAGCGACAGTTTCAAAGGTAAAATCCCAAAACATAAATGAGATAGAGGCATGAGTCAAGAGAGCTAGGCTTGTGAGACCCGAACATTCATATTATACATATTGTGAGTTAAAGTATAATTTGTTAATGTTTGCATGAGATTAAAATTATGATAACTAAATCCTGAGAAGTTGAATATGCTCTTAATTAAAGAATTTTATTGTTGAATTACGAGATGCTAAAATGTATTGTTGAGATTTTAGAAGTGTTGAAGAATTGAGTGATAGTTGTGGGAATAGGAAGTACAAGGGGACAAGTTGAAGCAAATATGGGCGTAGGTGTGAGTCTTGAGGGACGCTCGACACAAGGGGGATTTAGTATAAAAGGGGGTTTTGCTTAGAACCGGTTCATTAAGAGGGGAAGAGTTTGTTGGTTTGAAACTGATAGAGTAGTATACTAAAAGTTTATTTTTTGTTGTGAAATTTATTTTATTAATTAATAAAAGTTTGTTCTTTCCATTTTATTGAGAATCTATATGGGNCAAGTTGAAGCAAATATGGGCGTAGGTGTGAGTCTTGAGGGACGCTCGACACAAGGAGGATTTAGTATAAAAGGGGGTTTTGCTTAGAATCGGTTCATTAAGAGGGGAAGAGTTTGTTGGTTTGAAACTGATAGAGTAGTATACTAAAAGTTTATTTTTTGTTGTGAAACTTATTTTATTAATTAATAAAAGTTTGTTCTTTCCATTTTATTGAGAATCTATATGGGTAAAATGTTTGTATTATATTGAATATAAGGTATGCATGTGTGTTTTATATTTTACATTGCAAATAATCTAGTGTGTAAAGTTCGACTTATACCCAAAAGACCAGATTATCGGATCCTTATATAATATGAGTATATGTTCACAATCCTAATTAGAATTGGACATGCCATTGGTATGATTGTAGTGTAATATTCTGGCATACACTTTCTGGCATAGTCTGTCTTGACTGTAGGAGATTACTTGACGTCTCAGGTTATTGTACTAGTACACTTTGTGAATCGAACAGACCCATGTTANTGCCATTGGTATGATTGTAGTGTAATATTCTGGCATACACTTTCTGGCATAGTCTGTCTTGACTGTAGGAGATTGCTTGACGTCTCAGGTTATTGTACTAGTACACTTTGTGAATCGAACAGACCCATGTTAAAGTTATTATCTTTTATTATTTCAACAAGACAATAAATATCTCACGATTATTATGATTACTTATGTTCTTAATCTCAAAATATTTAATTGTAACGTACATATAATATTTGTCACTTTAATTCATCAAAGGATGAGATTCATATTGAGTCAATAAGCTCGGTGAATTAGGAGACGATGTTATTTGTATGGTGAAAATTAAATATTAAAGGAAACCACGTCTTAGTATTTAAATAGGTTGATGATGTCCTCTTGAGGAATCTCATAAATTTTATCCATGTCAAACCCTGCAAATAGATTTAATTATCCGACATGACAGATAAGTTGAGTGGTAAGGTCTCAAGAAACAAAATAAGTCAATTAAATATAATTATCAGTAATTTATTTAA